CAGGAGAAGGATGTGGCAGTCTGCTTCCAGAAGGATGGCAGCCTTGGAATCCCTGTGGGGTAGTTCTGCTCTACCCTATAGGTTCACTAGGAGTCAGAATCAACTCAAAGGCAATGGGTTTGGTTTTGTTGTTATTTTAACCACAAACCTCCCTTCTCCTTGGCTGTTAAAAGGTTGTGACCACTTTCAATGACTGATAATAGTGACTTTTGGCAAATCCTGCCCCTTCCCTGGGCTGCAGTTACCTTACCAGGTCCCGGAGCCAAACATCTCAAAATGCAGGGATTTAAAACAATCACGACTTAAGACTGCACCCAAGTCTATAGGTCTTCTGGGTGATTCTGCTGATCCAGGCCAGCTCAGCTGATCCTGGGTGGGCTTTCTTATGTGTAGGCACACAGCTGGTGGGTCGCCTGGAAGCTTGCTGGTCTAGGACGGTCTCCTTCTCAGGTGGGTGGATGACTGCTTGTTGGCTAGGGGGGTTTCATCATCCAGCAGATCAGCCCAGGCTTTTTCATAAGGTGATTGGGAAGGATTCCAAGAAGAATCAAAGCACCAAAAACCCCATGAGGCTTAGGCTTGGAACAAAGGACACAGTGACACTTCCACCACATTCCACTGGCCAAAGCAGTCATTAGGCCAGCTCAGATTCAAGGAGGAGAGAAAAGGATTCCACCTCTGATGGGAGGAGCTGCAAAGTCACACTGCAAAGGCTGCAGATGCAGGGAAGGGTAGGGACTCAGTCAGTCGACTAAGAGCAGCAGGACAGGGCCTGCCTGGTCAGTTCTTGGATTCTCAGTCATCTCAGTCAGTTGATGCTGATCAGCACATGATAAGTCTCTTCCATCCCCCAATAACTGATTCCACAGCCAGCTAATGAGTCTGAATTAAATGTGTGGGGACCAACTCAATCATGTCAAGGGAGACTTCCCCTCTATCTTTAATCCTTACAAAGGGAAAGTGGCCTGTAGGACAGAGAAACAGCTGTGTGTCCTCTCTGAGATGACCAGGCTGTCCCTCAGAGCCTTTTGTGAGTGACCATGCAACAAGAACTGTGCCCACAGCTGAGTCCTATTTCTCCTTGGCAGGCAGCACTGGGTGCTAGCAATGGCTTTCCATGCATTTTCCCATTTCTCTTAGTGGAAGAAAACATAGATTACTTGTTTTCAAGAATGTGTGTGCACACTCGGAGTCTGGCTGGCACGGAGGTTTCAGTGGTGTGCTGACTGCCTGCCCAGCGTCCTGAGCTCGGGATTTTATCAAGCAGGCTTTGTACACCCCTGTGCAGCATTTTCACCTATTATGGCTACACATTTACAAAAATAAATGCCTTCCCTTTTAATTTGCTAAAACCCAAGATACTGAGCTCGGACCTCA